TGGAATCAATCGGGTAGTAAGCATCACGCTAGACACACCTAAAAGATTTACAATTTGAAGAAGCTGACTCTCCCGAAGTCGATTTACTGATAGGATGCGCAGCGCCAGAAGCACACTGGATGCAGGAAAGAACAATACACCGCTCGCACCGTTTTTGGGTGGACACTATTTGGACCGCCCCATTCGGCCAACCGCAACCAATTGTCAATTAACTTCACCAGCACCACTGCAGGCAACGATAGGATCAAATAAATCGTACAACGGATGTACGACAACGAGTTCCAAGATCCAAGCGACCAGAAAGAGGGCCCCTCTGTAGAAGATAATCAAGCATTAGTTATAGTCGAAAAGGAGACACGCCATCAGCCCGACGGGTTTGAGGTTCCGTTGTCTTCAAGGACGGAATATACCCGATTGTCGAACAACCACGGAATAGCCTTGAAAAGACTGGAGTGTCTTAAAAGGCCACCGGTCAGAGACGCAGAAGATTGTAAACGTAACAAGTAGTTGGGTTATATAGAACGAGTGGACGAGCGTGTTACTAGCCACACCACCTCGTAACACATCCTAGAAAGCTAGGAAGGATACATGTGGGATTTTATTGTGCGGCCCAATTTGGCAATGTCTCCTGTAATGATTTTTTGTTACAGGGACCAAATTGGACCAATAACTTGATCGACGTACTCAACCGATTCTGGCTAGGAGCAATTGCAGTGGCAGCGAATATACAAGAATGTTTGCTCCAAGTCAAGATACCAGAAGATAAACGCGACGCCCNCGCCCTGCGAATAATTTGGTGGTCTGGAGGCGACGTACAGAGCCAAGCAGTAGACTACCGACTGATCGTTCATCCTTCCGGAGCAGTTTCCTCGCCTTTCTGTGCAAACTATGCACCACTTCGGACAGCCTCACAGTACGGAAACAACTTCCCCGCCTAGATGTCGGCTAGCGTTGGGAATATCTTCTACTTCGACGACTTCTTGTGTGCTTTTGATGAAGCAAAAGATGCTTTGCAACACGCAGTGCAACTAAAACATCTACTGGGGAAGTGAGGGTTTCGCCTAATGGAGTGATTGCCCATCTGGAGTTTAGTTCTAGACGTTCCCGAAACCGCCAGAGCAAGTGGGGCTCTCAATCTCACCACACAGCCACTCCCTATTTCGCCAACTTTGAGGGTACGATGGAGCGCGGAGACAGAAAAGTTCATGTTTTAACTTCGGCTACCCGCGAGAACCCCCTTCTTCGAAAGCTACTATCGTCGGTCTCCAGTTTATATGACCCGCTTGGATTTGTCGCGCCAAGGCTGCTACTGGGGAAGGTCCTCCTATAACACCTATTTCATAAAAGGGTGGAGTGGGATCAACCCTTGGGCGAGGAGGACCGGGCAGATTGGGAGCAATGGTTAGTAAACCTAGCTATACTGGGTGATATGCGGATCCCGCGCCGAATCAGCTGAAGCAGTCAAGCGACGAAGGCCGAACTACATTTATTCTTCGACGAGAGATGAGATACGGGTCAGCAGCCTACGTATTCTGGCTGTATGTGAACGGAGAGCGCAAGACGGAGCTATTTTTGCCCGGGCACGGGTTGCCCACTGAAATGCGTGTTGATACCCCGCCCCTTGAACTGACAGCGGCAGTGCCAGCTGTAAGTATAGCAAAGCAACTATGACAGTGGTTCAGGATATTCTAAGAAGGCGTCACATTCTGGACCAACTCTGAAATTGTGATCCGCTACGTGAATAATATCAGTACTGGGTTCAGGAGCTTCTTTTCCAATCAACTGACGTTGGTGCACGAAGAGATAAAGGTGCACCAAGGACGATACGTCAAATCTGCATACAACCCAGCCGACCACTCCTCCAGGGCTTGAAATCATTGGGAAAACCACTCGATCGAAGTCAAAAAAAAGTGGTAATGGCGGCAGACCGCGACACCATCTGCTCCCTGTTGATGAAACTATAACATTTCTCGTAATGGAACAAACTGATTCGTTCCATCGGTTGGTGGATGAAGTTTTAACACATGCTGATGATCATGATCATAATGAATAACACGTGGTAGAACCGCGATAAGGGGGACGATCGGTAGATGTACGTTTGCTCGTCGACAAAGGTACTTTAGAGTAAGAAAAAGCTGAATAAAAGGAGATTTTAGGGAAGTGACGGTGGGTAACGTCAGCCGTATCACCATGGAAGAGCCCATATATGTGGTAAAGGCGGGCAGTCAAAGTCAGCGTTGGAGGTCAATTCCGTCGTACCGCACGTAAACGACTCACTATCAAACAAAAATAGCGGCGCTACGGCATTCAAAATTCAATAGATCCTGCTGACATCAGTATTACTAAACTAAATAGCCACTGTGTTCATTCCAGTCCAGACCAGTCTTCACAGGATGAATAATGGACCTTGATAACCGAAAGTCTGGATTATTGTGTTGTCCGTGGGTGTTATTGGCTCCCAACACTGCGCTTTCTGAGTTTCTTTTATCAGGTTTTCTTACTCGAGCTAGAAGACATAAAACAGAAGGGATGTCTTCTTGCCTCATCAGTGGAAGAAATCAGTTTTCTGGAACATACCAGTTTCAAGTACAATTCAATAGTTCAGTTCTGTAGTTCAGGACTGAAAATTATCTGGCTCTTAGTGACGATGTACCACCTAACCTCTGGGAATATTTTCGGCCAATACGCATCCAGTGCCTCCTTGAATTTGTGCACTTTGGTGCTGTTGATCACTTCCCCGGGTAACTTGTTCCACATAGATATGACCCTGTTTGCGAAGCAGTTGGCCCGGACCTCCAACCTATAATGGTTCTGTTAGAGCTTAAGGCGATGGCCTCTCGTGTCTTGAGCACGCGATCCTGTAAAACATTCATCTGGGTCGAGTCTTTATAGCCTTCTGACTACTTTAAGGATCCATATAAGGTCTTGCAGTCATCAGCGTTCCAGTGAAAAGAGATTAAGGCCTCTCAATGGCTGCTTATAGTTTTTCCCGTTTACCCAGCTACCATACCGGTAGCAAGTCGTTGCACCTTATCCTGGTGTGCTAAATTCTATATATAACATGGCGCCCATGCCTGAACACAGTATTCTAAGTAAGGGCGAACTATTGACTTGAAGATAAGCACAAAGACCTCTGTTTGCCTACAAAATAGATCAACGAGCAAGCCTTTAGCTGAGAGCCTAGCCTCAGTGGGGGAAGGAGGAATGACGCTCACATCCACACCGGTGTTTACTAAGAAACATACCACTAATGGAGTCCCTAACGTAAAAAAGGCGGCTCCTAGTTCGTGTGCCAACGGCTGACGCCGTAATTATTCGTCGGCCTAGTCTTTTCCCGAAGGAGGTTGACCTTTCCACAAACACGGGTGGATGCATTTGGCAGCATCCTTACCATAGCGTGCGTGATACCAACATAACTTCTGACTATCATTGGGCAATTTAGACGTACGGCGATTGCTGGATTGCGGTTTTCCACTAAAATGGGCGCCTCTCGAATTTCTATCCGTGTTGAAACCATTAAGTTTTTCGATGAAAGCCTGAAAGAGGCCGTCAACGGATGTGGCTGAAGGGACGGTGGGGGTAACCGCAGCGACTGAGGGTTGACGGTATTGCATGGAATGATCTGCCATAACCGTCACACATTCTATAGGCATGTCTTGGGCTGGAGCAAGAAGGAATTGAACGTCCTGTGGTAACTTTTGTAACCACAGTTCCCCAAAGAACGCATCGTCATCTGGGGTATTGCCCGTTTTGTTACACATGAGCCTATAGAGTTACGAAGGCTTGCGGTCGCCCAAAGGCATATCCTGTAGTACGCGTCGGATTCGCTTTTTTTAGAGCTCCCCATGCGTTCTAATATGGCGTTCCGCAGGGCTTCGAACGGCCAATCTTCGGGAGGCTCTAAAACTACGTCCAAGACCTCAGCTATCAAGTGTTCTGGCAGCGAGGAAACGACGTGATGGAACTTAGTCTTCGAAGACTTAATGTTCCTAGTCGCATATTGCGATTCCAGAACCGCAAACCACGCCCTAGGGTTAGATGCCCAAAAAGGAAGGGGTTTGAATGTGGTGGCCACCACGGGAGCAGGTTCATCGGATAAATCTAACAAATCCATGATAAAAAGAAGAACAATGAATAATCGTATATAGAATTTGCAATCCCAAAATAACTCTGTCAAAAAATGTAGAGCTCAGATAGTGATAACGGTAAAGTGAATATCCAACAGAATTTCGCTAAAATTTTCTGAAAGATTAGAAATTGGCTCAAACATTCCATATAAATGGTACGGACTCACCGAAATCTGATGATTGCCGAAAGCGAACGGAGGCAGTTGTATACGGGCCCCCATTTTGTGACTCGACGGTTGTTGATGTTCGTCAGAACCCGTCACTAATGTTTGCTCACGTTCGTTTTGCATATCCGTCCCAAAAGGAAACAGAACCAAAGATTGGGTTTATAGAAAACGTTATATTCTGAATCTTCCGAAAGTTTGGAAGTAGGTTTGCACAGACCTAGGTTGTTATTTAAGCAACGGCAGCGGAAATCTGAAAGTGATTTTAATCATTGTAACGAAGGTGTGCGATACAGAGCTCACCATGACGAATTGTGTCGGTGCACGGTTTCTAAGCTCATTAAAAGAAGGATAATAGTTAGAGCAAAATTAATCCTGGAAATGTCCAAGTTGCTATATCTAATTGATAAAATTTCCCTGGAAGATAACTATCGCCAAATAATGGCGATAAATGCTAAACCTGGACGGTACACCTTATTGCGTCCGGTGCAAAAAGGGCCCTAAGTAGGAAGAAAAAACATAGCGGTAGTTTAGCTACTTGATCGAGAGGCTAAATAGCTACTTGATATCTGAATTTTGATGGTTTAGATAAGAATGCCACGTTTATGCAACCATGTCCTTTTAATCCTCAGTTACGCATGACTGGTTGAAAACTGAACCGATCCTACTGCTAATCACCAGTGTAGCGTGAAAGGGCTTCTGGTACGTGATTTGATGATCACGAACAGCTTGAATGAATCTATCAGGAAACGTGGAGAAGGACAAAAGGAAGGAAAAGAAAATTGCCGTTGCGAAACTGTCACATGAACTGCTACAAATCAAATGTGAGCGATCAAGTCGCTTTTAAAATAAATAGGGTATGAATGAAGCAGAGAAACAAACAAAGTCAAATAGTGGGATCAATGAGGAAATATACAAAGGTGGGACGTCAGATATCTATATATATATGAGGCGGATGCTGTTAGGTTAATGAAACGTGAAATTCACGAAATGTGGAACCAAGGTGGATTGTCTGCGCTCTGCATGAAGGATTTTCACAGATAAATCAATACACTCTGCGTTTCTACATATAAGGGCAGCACATACTCTGAACAGCTCACCACGAGCCTTATTGGCTGCCTTCAGACATTGTGTTCCGGGCTTGAGACTTATCGGTGAATGACTCGTAAGTCCTTAACTACCTCTGTTTGCTGCAGTTCCAACTACCCTTCTCGAGCGGTATCGGCTCTTGCGGTTAAGAGCTGGCACTTTTCGAGATTTATTGGTAAATTCTACTGAATTGATAATTGTCTAAGCGCTTCTACACCGTACTCTAAATTTATTTCGGCTCCTTGCATATCGTCTGCTAGCATGAAACAGGGATTTTGGAGATCCCTTGTAAAATCGTTGATGTAAATCTTAAATAGTAATGGTCCCATAACTGATCCTTTATGCACCCCGCTTATTACTGTTGCAGGTCTGCTCAGATGTTTGTCGACATTAGCACAGACCCTACGATGACTGAGAGACTGTACGACCCAATTTCCTACTGCCCCCTGTAATCTGCATTTTGTAGCTTGCGGTCTAAGAGCTTATGGCCGACTGAATCGAAGGCGTTGCAGATGTCTAGGTAGCAGACTTCGACCTGCTGACCTTCATCCAGCCTTTTGGTAACCTCATCCGAAAAGGTGAACAGGTTAGTGAAGCATGATTTTCTTTCGTTAAACCCCTGCTGCGCTGGTGGTTAAGTTCTGATATATTTGCTCCTGATGATCCGTTCCAAGCATTTACACAGAACGTGTGTCGAGGTAACTGGTCGGCAGTTGTTTACCTTATGCCTAGGTCCTGAGTTGTATAGAGCAAAAGTCGTTGGCTTAAGCCAGTCCTCTGGTAATAATGACTCCTCAGGGATTATTCAAAAGGATGGTTACCAGATGTGCCAGAAGCCCTGCTAGTGATCAAACTATAGCAGGGTGTGTTCCATCAGGTTATGCAGCCTTAGGTCAATTTAGTGACGCAAGTTCTCTGGCTCTATTACTCTCGTAACTGATTATTTCACTAATGGTTGGTGTATCTGAACGCGGTGCAGTGGGCTCCACAACATCCCTTTGCACTGGTTGCCACCATATACTCTTGAAGAAGGCCAGTAGGGTGGTTGTCTCATCTTGGTCCGATGTGGCCAAGCTACCACTACTCATCTCCAAAGTTCCCACACGGCTTTTATATTTTTGTATGCATAAAACCTTTGAGGATTAGGCTTGATGTACTGTGTTAGATTCTTTTGGTGTATATATTTTCCCTCTCGTTGTAGAGCCTGTGTCTTGTTACGAGCTTTTACTGACATTATGCTTCATGCGCGAAATATATTCGATAATTTTTCCAGCATCGTCTGCGTGTTCTCAGTGCCCTATCTGGCTTGGGCCGCCACTACACTGGCCTGCATCATTTGCTCTTAAATTCGCAGTGAAGGGTGTACACTTTGTGAGCATACTACCAGATGAAATGTAGACGATAGATTGGCCGAGGCAATTATCACTCATGTGAAATCTCACCTGACTTGACTTTGCGGTACGTTTGCGCGCGGCTGGAAGTTTTGACGTGCTTTGATTCGCTTAGTGTTTCGATCGTAAAAGTAAAGTTCAAGTGCGATAAATTGACACTTCAATGTGTTTTACACCTTTTTGTTTTCCGAGTTTTCGATAGTAATTATTAACAGTGCTCTGTCAAAAAGCACAGCAACGCGGACCAAAACTCCATGCACAGCCAAATAGATTGTTTAAACTTGGTTTTGTGTAACGTTTTTACGCACCGTATTCACCTGTCGTTTTCCGTATCACTTTTTTTTACATTTTGATCACTTGCACTCAAATAAGTAGACACCTTATAATGACGCGAGTGTTCTATCCATGTTCGAGGGATAGCTGCGAAAGGTGGTTAACGGAATCGAATATGAAACCTGCACAAGGTGGACACATTCTGGTTGTTCAGACATTAGCAAAGACCGCTTTGCATTCTTTTGTGAAAATAGTTCGTTGAAGTCGATTTGTGAACAGTGTAAGGATGCGACCAGGACAGCGTTCACGAAGCGGCAGTCAGAGGCCAGAGTAAAGCTGAGCAGTGAGCATCTCAAGAGCCCCAAAAAGTTGGAAGCAACCAGAGGAACCTTGAGAACTTACCCTCAGGTCGCCTCAAGCCAGGAAAAAAGGAAACCGCAAGGACAGAGTTCTTGGCAAACCGTTTGGTCTATGACCTGGAAGGTAGTAGCGGTATCCACACCGTTACATAAACTGCTACCTATGGTCAACTCCAAGGTACGTCAAGGTGTGAACCGTCCCAAATCACACCGGAGGCCAAAACCTGGAGAGGTAGAAAAATTATTCCCTCACAAGGGAGTGGTGATAGGTTAGAAGAAGAACTTCAGGAGTTGAAGAAGCAAGTGAGTACCCTCCTTGCAGTAATTATCCCCGAATTTGAAGTTCGAAGAAATGTCATACTTGAGAATAATAGTAATAATAATAATGAGTGTATATTTCACTGAGCCCCATGAAGCATGCATAGGCATAATCAAATGTACAGCATAGTCATCCGTATAGAAGCCCAAAAGGAAAAAATTGAAGGTCTCAGTGAACATAATTACAAATGGAACACAAAGTGGACAAGGTATCAGAGAAAAAGGTTCGGGATGGCAGAATGTTCTAAAAGAGCAGGTCGATGGAAGTAGGACAAAAAACAAGAATCGTTATACCGGATGAATGATGAGATGACTGGAAATACGGCAATCAGTGAGTAAAATGAGGAGCCGAATATAAGGGAATCAAAGGCCCGTAGGGAACTGGACAGATGTGGAGTCCATGACATACTTAGGTTTGCTGGGCTCTGCCAAACATGGCAATTAGGAGAGTGAACCGGGTTGGAAGATGGAAAACACCAGCCCCGGAAGCGCCACAGGGACCCACTAGACCCATACTGGTGGGATTTGCCAGACCACTGGATAGGGATCTGCTACTATCCCAAACAGACTTCGTGTGGAGTGCCACTAAAGGGCAATACAAAATGGTCTCTGATAAACTTCACGTGATGGAAATGAATAGAAGACCGTCAACTTACAAGAAAGAAAAAGAAAGAATTGGGGCTAAGCTAAATCAACTGCTCAGGATACCACGGGTCTTAGCAAACCTGAATGTGATAATAATTAAGGACATGTTGGAGGATCTCACGGTAGGAAATGAAACTCCAACGGAATCGAATAATACCGCATCCGGTCAACCAATATCATCACCGCGACCAGCATACGCTTCCAAGCTACCCGAGCTAGAGGAAACCGTGGTCGAAGTAGCAGATGGCACCGTAGGTCAGCCATAAACCGGGCTATCTACTCGAGTGTTACGCGCGAGGAGAAAATCCGAGTGAACAAACACCACTCATTAGGGGACAGGAAAGCATTGGTACTATTGCACGCCAATGCATGTTGTATTAGGAATAATGCGGGCAGAGCTGGCCACAGTGGCTGCGGGAACAAAGGCTGAGGTGATTGTCCTGTTTGAAACGTAGCTAACGCAGGATGACCACATATCCGAACCAGTCTTTAACCGGTTCACAGTCCACAGAAAGAACAGGAAAGGGGGTGGAGTAGCTGTCCTAATCAGACAGAATATACTCCACCATGAAGGAAAGATGGCGCAGTGCACCCGAAATATCCAGGTATGCTCAATTTCGGTGGTTCTATCTTCAAGTAGGGTCAGCATATCAGGAGTCTACAGCAGCCGGGAATGCACACCCGAGGAGGACCAGGCACTCCTAGGGGCCCTAGATAGATTATACAGACACTCAGAAAGAGTTTGTATATTGGGAGATTTCAATTTCCCAAAAATAGATTAGGAGGTTGAGCGGGCGCCAAAAGAAACACTGGAGGGCGTATTCTTAGAGTGGATACAGCCGAGGGCCAAACAGCAACATATCCGGGAGTGCACTAGGTACGGAGATGGAGATAGGCCATCTCTACTAGACCTAATCATTACGAGAGAGCAGAATTTGACAAACTACCCTACATCCACCGCTGGGTAAAAGTGATCACGTCGTTACCACCACAGCAATAAGTCTAATACACCGTAGAAGTAATGTTAGGATGTCCAGGAACTACTGGATGATAGAGGCGAAAAGGCTGAAGGCTCGAGATGCAGAGCCAGTTTGCACCCCTATCCACGAATACGACTCTATAGACTAGCACTGGAACCTGATCAAGACAAATACCCCAGGAAACCCAGGGCAGAGAAGAACAAACTACCTGGGTGGAGCTCAACGATTAGGAGAGCGATTTGGCGTAGAAATAGGTGCTGGCACATCTATAGATCAACGGGCAGCCACAGGCCCTGGGTACAGCACACTAAGGATAGACATAAAACACTGGCAGTTCAGAGAAAGACCAAAAGACAATTTGATCTGAAGCTGGCAAATTGTGCCAAATACCAGCCAAAAGTTTACTTCCGCTATGTCCAATCTAAGGTAGGGCTTAGTCAGGAGGTGGGGCCTCTGATAACAGATGATGAAGCAGTAGTAACTCAAGAGCGGGATATAACACTACGATTCAAGGACTACTTCCAAAGAGTACACAGGGTGCACCAAATCAGTACTGCACTATCTGACCTTCGTCACCACTGGACAAGACATTCCCGATTTACAGGTGGGGTTTCAACAAGTGTGCTGAACAATTGATGAACTCAACATCACTAAATACGCTGGCCTAGACGGCATCCACTCAGCCTCAGTTAGACACAAATCTGAGGTTCTAGGGAGCTCACTCCGCCACCTGTACAAAACAACTCTAGAGCAGGGCAGGATACCACAGAACTGGGAAGTGGTAACAGTGGTCGCTGCATTGATCGATCTGTGAAAATCCTTCCTGTAAAGCCCAGTCGATCCATCTCGGTTCCACATTTCGTGAATTTCACGTTCCATTCAATCAACACCATCCGCCTCACACATACATAAACATTCGACATTCCACTCCCTCTGTATATTTATAAATCGATCCTACCATTTAACTTTGTTTGTTCATCTGCTGCATTCGTACCCTACTTGTTTTAATCGCCACCTGAGCGCTTACATTTGGCTCATTCGTATGCAGCGTGACGGTGAGCGTGCTGTTCTTATCCAGGCCTATTTTCTTCCATTCATATTTGTTGAATAACGCTCACGGTAACACTTGGCTCTTGTTTTCGAGTTGTTTCGAGATCACTTTGAGGTTTGTACATGTTTGTTTGCTTATTTGATCGTTTATTAATGCAGTACCGTAGATACTTGCTGGATCGTTCGTTTTGTTGACGTTTTGGGATTCCATTTCGGCTAGGCGTTACCCGTTGATCTATTCAGGAGGCACAGTCGCATAGAAAAATGGTGGAAAACTATCGTCCAGTAAGTCTCACGCGGGTCTTGTGTAAAGCGCTACAGTGAATTATCAGAACCCACTTATATGAATGCCTCACTCAGCACCGCTTGCTGATTGCGGTACAGCATGGGTTCCTGACGGGAAACTCCTGTCTCAGCAATCTGTCGCACTTTTAGATGAAGTCGCAGCGAGGGTAAGGAGGGTAAAGAAGTGAAAGTATGCTATATGGACTGCAGCAAAACATTTGACTCAGTATGCCATTGCTCACTTTTAGCCAAGTAGATGCTTTAGGGATAAGTGGTAATATCTAGAAGTGGCTAATAGCTCTGCTGACTGATCGGACTTCCAGATTCGGGTCGGAGAAGCGAACTCGCCAGCGGAAACTATTGCCAATGGTGTTCCTCAAGGATCAGTTCTAGGTCCACTCCTTTTCGTGCTCTAAATCAATGGTCTCCCTGAATGTCTTGGGTCGCCTGCTATATAGTTGCGGACGACCTCAAGGTTGTAGGATCCAATGGGAGAGTGGAATTAGGGAGGGACATATGTAGGAGAAGTGCTCAAGTGGTTAATTACATCGGACCTGCCTCTCAACATAGGAATGAGCCGACATTCTACTGGAGACGAGGGGCTGACAATGAGGAGTAGTCATGGCGGTCTTTCATAAGGGACGCCACATAAGGCTACAGATTTAGGAATCATAGTGACTACCAGTGGGAAGAGCAGTGCACCACAGCGGCGCACATTAGAGAGAGCTTTTTAGACTGAGGTCAGCGCTAACATGTAGGAAACCGAGGGGGATTCGTACCTCAATACTAGGCGATTGTTCGACCGCACTTAGAGCATTACATACTAGCTCGGGCTTCCTCCTTCAAAAGGGACACCACTTGTCTCGAGAGGGTCCAACGATTAGCCACAAGGATGATCAAAAGACAGCGAGGGAAGCCGTATAAGCAGGGACTGCAGGACCTTGGACTCTCTTCCCGATTAGAAGACTCCGAGGGGACTCGATAAAGACATTCAAAACTATGAATGCTCTATCAGGGACGGACCAAGCAGTGTTCTTCAAGAGGAGGGAAAGCAATACTAGGGGACACATGCACAAGCTGGAGAAAGTGCGCACGAGACTAGTGGTGCGTTCAAACTTCTTAAGCAACAGGGTAGTCAACACTTGGAATAAGTTGCCAAAGGAGCTGGTGGAGCTAGGGAGCGTGCACGATTTCAAAAAGGAGCTCGATGAGCGCTGGTTCAACGTATTTCCCGAAGTAGACGCGTAGATTAAGGTTCAGAAACAGTGGTTGTTTTTTTGAGTTACTAACCACCTCAACAGGGGAGCGCTTCCAAATGTGAGGTCTCTCGCCTGAACAAGGGGAGATATTTTTTCCTTTCTCTTCCCTTGCAGAGGCGAAAACGACTGGGACGAGAAGAAAACGTGTAGAACTCCATCATAGAACACCCGCAGTTGTAGGGGCCAACACGTGACTTAATACCGAACGAACACTGGACGCTGAATTGGCCGTGGCCATTTCCTGTTCGGTGCGTAGTTTTAATTTTCGAATTGATCGTGGTATATCAAGTTTTTGATTGGAATAATATTGAAATATCTATAAATAGTTCACAGTTTCATCTCTTAACCTTTTGGCGCTTACTATTCCATGTGTTGAACTCTTTAACGGTTCATAGAGGTTATATTTGAGTCGTTTTAGCTTTTATACTTGCGTTCCCAATCGTTTTCAGCTAACTCACTGTGTATTCGTTTTTCTGGTCGTATTTTCATCACCGTCGCATTTTTGTCAATGATTTCCTCACAGAGCGAAAATCATTGTGGAGACAATCGTTGCAATCTGTATGTAGCATGGGGCATTTAGTGCAACCGGTGCAACAAGTAGTACCATCGAAAGTGCCCACTTGTAGCACAGAAGGAGTATCTCATACACATTCAGAACAGGAATCTGAAGTGGATATATGACCGATGTGAGTTGTTCGCATTAGAGTGCTTAAGATTGGTACGGGGCATGGTCGTTGTTGAACCATTAACCCCTAAGTAAACCCTTGGCATCAGTGCTCACTGAGGTAGCTGTCCGGAACTGGAGAATGTAAACTAACCATCACAATCCACGGAAATGATTTTCCCGTCGTGGCATCAGAGGAAGTGCCAAATCCAACCGGTGTATGAACCGGGACGCATGTTAAGCGAAAGCGTGTTTTCGTCCTGACCTGACCTAAGATGCAGCAAAATAGAACATATACTCCAAGAAAGGAAAAGGTTTTTGAGAGCACCGATGTTAAACTGGGTCGGTAAAAATTAATTTTAAAACACAAGGGAGACAGGAAGCGTTTGGAGAGATCGCAGCTCTTATTTCACTGAAGGACACCCTTGGAAGAGAACGACCCATGGTCAAGAATTCCAATCAAATGATGCTAGGTAGGTCGCGAAACCTGGTCTTCCATAATTTGATTGAGCCATTTATCCGCGGAAGCAAGGCTAGAAAAGAATCCGGGAGGTGATGCCTCTATGAAATATTCAGGATGGTTAGAATGCCTGCAACAACCCCAGTTGTCAAATGCCATCGCACTGAAGTATATAAAGATGGTAAAGCGGTTGGACCAAGGCCGCTGTTAGTAGTCTTTTAGATTATGTACTTCAGACTCGCTGTACTCTAGAGTGCAGTGAAGGTGATGTAATGATTGTAGTATTCGTAGTATTACGCACGGAATTCGGAATGCAAACCACGCAACAGAAATCACCGGACACGAATCAATAATCAGCTATCACGGACTGAACCACTGAAGCACTGGACCGCAATGGCACCGGTTCGCAATGTCCCTCGAGAACGAGGCGCGAGGTAAGGGCCACAGGAATAGTAGTAAGTAGTTCTTTCATTGAAAGAAATAAGGTCGATTTAATAATATGTACAAAAGATTATTGGTTGTTAAGGTTTCCACAAATCGGACTGCAATACTGCTTG